TTTTTTTTTTTTTTTGGATGATTCACATTGATTGTACTGTTTAAAAGTATGTAATGTTCTTAGATACTTAATTGTCCAAAATAATTCCCTTTGTTATATGGATATTTTATGTTTGCAGTAATTTAACTTAATTCAGCATTGGGCAATAGAAGCGTAACTGGTCTTGCGAGGGTGGCGCAGACCCAGGGGATCCCTGTGAGATGCTGCCTCGTGTGGGCGGATGAGCGCTCTGCTCTGGCCAGTGGCTGCTTTAGCATCCAGCATGCCCGCAGGTTGCCTTTGCTTCTCTTCTGTATGATTTTAAGAGGGACCAGGCAGTTGTGGTTAGTTGGCAATTCCACTCAGCGTTGGTTGGGCCAAAGATCTGCTGGTGTTTTATTCTGGATTTTGCTTATGTTCTAGAGAGTAGGAATTGTTTAAGAGTCTATCTCTGAGAAAACTGCTGGGCCAAATCAAATCTCTTAGTTTCAACTTCTTTGCAAGGAAATTTCAGAAAAACTGTTAACTTAAGCTGGTGGGCAGGCAGCTTTCACTTCAGCCACAGCACAAGACGGTGTGGACAGTGGAGCGTGAGCTGCAGAGGGCTGCTTCCACTTGTCCTTGCTGCTGGTGCTCGGTGGGGGATCTGGGCACTTGGAGACTGAGCGTGGGTGACCTCCTTCTGGGCCAGTGAAATGCTTCATGGGTGCTCCCTCCAGTGATGCTTGTATGAACCCCTCAAGCTTATGACATTTAAAAAATAGTTATTATAAATTCAAGTGCTTGAAAGCCTATGGGAGATTCACCCTTTGTGCTCTCTAGGAATTGTAGAGCGCGACCAAGAAAATATTTAAAATTCCTCAACAAATAAATGAACCAACCCAAACTTGACTCCTGAGCTTTCGGGCACAGAAGTGGAGCCTTCTAGCTTCCTTTAAAGGCAGTGCAGTGAGGTATAGGGAGCAGCTCAGGCTGGCCTGTGCCTCCGAGAGGACTCTGGCCATCAGGGACATGGTCCCTGCCTTTTCCAAAGTGACGGTCACTGTTCCACTCTAGGAGGCATCCTTGAACACCAACGGAAGAACGGGGGCTTGGAGGGAGTGAGGGGCAGGGATGCTGCAGCAGTGGTGGTGCTGGGAGGTTTGGTGGAGACTGTGACTTTGATGAGCCCAGAGCCCTGCTTTTGTGTCATCAGGAAAATTCCATGATGTATCCGAGAGCACACACTGGACACCGTTCCTCAATGCAAGCATCCATTACATCCGGGAGAACTTTCCTCTTCCCTGGGGGAAGGTAGGTGCCCCCTCCACCCTAAAACCCTGCACTCCATACCTACCATGTATCTGCACCTGCACTCACCCCACTTATACCCTGCTGCCTAGCTCTGTGAGCACTAGCCAAACAGCACTTGGGACACAGTAGGTGCCTGGTTGATACAAGAGTAAGTTATGATAAAAAAAAAATGGTGGCATGTCACTTGGCCATTTTCCTCTGATAGTAATCTGAACATTTGTCCAAGGCACTGTGGAACATCTTAACAAGTTCTATTTAAGTTTTGGGGACTAGACAGTACACTGTACTTGCCTCTAACTTTTTTATAGTTTTGCTAGTGGAAATTTCTCAATTTCTAAGCCTAAATACACAGGTTTTTCATAGGATTGTTACAGAACAACCCAAGCACACAGGACTATAATTTGTTCCTTACAGGGCACTGAGAAGCTGGTGGCCTTCTTGTTCGGCATCACCTCACACATGGTGGCAGACGTGAGCTGGCACAGCCTGGGCATCGAGCAGGGCTTCCTCAGGACCATGGGGGCGGTGAGCACCCACCTCTGCAGCTGCAGACTCTGTGGGAGCGCAGCTGTCTTACCTAAAAACAAAAGCACACTGCCCAGTAAAAAGGAAATCTTGGGTTTTTCAGATGTCATGTGCAAACAAGATTTCTTGCCCAAAGTGGTATTTGGTCATAGTGTGCCTTTTCCTGTTCATTCATTTTTTTTTTTCTTGGACCCAGACAAATACACTCACAAGATGAGAAAGACTTACATGTACTGAAAATGGCAAGAGATGTGATGTTGTTTTAGTTTTATTCAACCTATAAGTAATGGATACTTGCTCGATGGTTCTTTTTAAAAGTAGCAGTTCTGCTCTATTTCTTTTCCATTTCCTCTGTGAAAATGCCATAGCCCCAATCTGATAATTGTGATCTTAGCTATTGGCTTCACTTTGGGAAGACCCTTCTGGACAACAATTGATATTAATTCCATCTGTTAGAAGGTTAAACTTGGTCTTGGACATATATATATATATATATATATATATATTTATCTGCAATATCTTTGTTCCAGACATTAAGTATTCAATTCAACTCTAAGATAAACAACAAAATAAAACATTACTGTGAGAAGGAGGCCTGCCTGTGGGCTCCTCAGCCCTCCACATGGCCAGGTGGTCCCCTCGCCTCCACCGCCTCTGCACCCCATTTGATTGTGAGGTAGGCTGAATTTGGGCTCTACTTCGTGATAAACAGCAGGCGCTTCTTTTTCTTTCTCAGATGGATTTCCACGGCTCCTTTTCTGATGCCCATTCTGCTGGTGATTTTGGTACTGTTCATTTATATTTGCCAGATTTTCTCTTGTGATTGCAACTGTTCACTCACAGTGAATTCACAACTGTGCTTTTGATGTGTATTTTTTATATTTTGCCAGCAGCATATGCTTAAGTATCTTTAATATTGCATTTCACTTAGAGTGAGACCTATCTCTATGCAACATGGGGATATATTTCTAAATAGTTGTATATGCATTGTTTTATTTAAAACACAGTCATTGATTTGTGTCATAATTTTAAAGAACATTATATTTGGTTAAAATACTCTAACTGGTATCTCCTAATCTCATTAGGTTTAAATTGAAAAAAAAAATCCATCTTTTTTCTGTAATAAGTTTCTTTTGAAACATTTTAGGAGAGAAATGGTATTTATTTAAAGGAATCCCTATGTTCTGTTTTTCCTTATTGTAAAAAATATTCTTTAAGGGGCCGGGGAGATGGCTCAGTGGAATAAGCGCCTCCCTGGCAAGCGCAGGGGCCTGAATTCAATCCCCGGTTCTGTAAAAAAACAAAACAAAACAAAAAAACAAACAAAAAAAATTCTTTAGTTAGATGGGTAATTCCTTCTTAGTTCATATACTTTGCTGGCTAAGATTTTTAAGAGTCCTTTTTCTTAAAAACATGCCTATCTAAAACAATAGAAACATGTAACAAGGAGGAATGGATAATCTTGTGAGAACTGTCTTGGAAGTGACATGCAGGGCCAGCATTAACCTATCAAATGTACATGTTCTTCTCGTACCCCAGGAGGAGACGTGGTGAGCCAGTTTGAATTTAATTTTAACTACCTCGCTCGGCGCTGGTAAGAGCAATGGCCTTTTCGATGTGTGACATCTAAATGCTACTTACAGCCTAACGTTGGCAGATGTACATGTAGTTTTAAGCACATATGTGTGTGTTTGCTTTAGACTTGTTATAGGACAGGTTGGGATATCTTCCTATTTTTGTCTTCCAAAGATCCTTGCTATTTTCTGCCTTTACTCTTTCACATACATTTAGAATCAGGTTGATATCTCTGAAGAAGAACTTTTTTTTTTTTTTTTTTTTTTTTTTTTTTGACAGGGCCTTGCTGGGCAGTTGTGGCTGGACGGGACTCACTGTGTAGTCCAGGCCGGTCCTGAACTTGCAGTGATTCTCCTGCCTTAACCTCCCAAATGCTGGGATTGCAAGTGTGAACTACTACACTCTGTTCTTATTGGAATTTTGATTAGATGTTTATTGGCTAGAGGCGAATTGGAGCAGAGTTAGCTATGTGGCAATATGGGGTCTCCTTTGCCATATATATGTTTTATGTTTCATTTACTTAAGTATTCTTGAATGACTTTATATAAATTTTTTCAACAAGCTCTTATATATCTTATTAGGTTTAGTTCCAGAGACTTTGTACTTTTCTTTGCTACCCTATATGATTTTTAAAGTTATATTTTCTAATTAATTACTGGTCTACAGAAATCCAGGTGACTTTTAAAGTTAGACTTTGTAGCTAGTGCCATTTCTAAGCTATCTCATTACCTACTTAGCTGGTGGTTCTTTAGAATTTATTGTAGATTGGCAATTACAGTCTCCAAAGTAAAATCATTTTGCTTTGCCTTTTCTTTTTTCTTGCTGTGTCATTCCGGCTGGTATCTCAAGTACAGTGCTGGATGGAAGTATTGATATTGAGCACACTTATTTTCTTACTGATCTTAAGATATTTTAAAAGTATTATGTTATGGAGTTTTGTAGATTGAAGGAAGTTTCCTTTGATTTCTAGTTTATTAATATTTTTAACTCATGCATTAAAATTAGATAGAATCTCTATGAGCTGTGTACTGAGACTCTGTACCAAATACATAAAATGAAAAAAATAAAATAAAATTAGATAGATAGGGTTAGACTTACTCTGTGTCTGAGACATTTATGTTTCTTATGTGTTAATTTAATGAATTGTATTAATCTACTTGCTAATACTACATCAAGCTAACTGCCTGAGACAAAGCCAATTCTGTCATGATGTACCATCTTCTTTCTATTTGTTGCTTATGTTGTTATTGCTTAGAGTTCTTGTATTTGTATTTATAAGTAAGCATGTAGTTTTCCTTTGTTTTTTAAAAAATATTTTTCTATCAAGGCCTTGCTAGAAGCAATCAGGGAGTGTTTTTCCTTTCGTATTCTCTGGAAGCTTCTATAAGATTAGAATATTGATTCCTGGGATGTCTGCTAGAATCTGCCTGTAAAGCTGTCTAGTGCTGTTGTTTTCTTTGTATGAATTTTATACAAACTTCCTTAATGATTACAGGATTATAGAGCTTCTCAACTTTTTAAGGAGCTTTGTATTTTTCTAGGATTTTTCCATTTTAAGTATTTAAACACTTTGGTACAAGGTTGTTCATAATATGAACATCTTAGCTTTCAAAGTTCCTGCTTTATTTGCACTTAAATGTTCCCTTTGTTATAATGTATATTCTGCCTTCTCAGTTTTAAACTATCTTGCATAATATTTTTCATGTTTATTATTTTAAAGAATGAAGTTTGGCTTTATCAATCTTCTTTCACTTTCTTTCTCTCCCGGCCCCTTTCTCCTTCCTCCTTCCTTTTTTTCTTGTAGTACTGGAAATGGAATCCAGGGATTTTGGACTGAGCTATATCCCAAGTATTTTTATTTTTCACTTTGAGACAGAGTCTTACATAGTCATCCAAACTGGGCTATCACTCAGTGGATTAAAGCGCCTGCAAGCAGGCACAGGGGTGGAGCTCAATCCCTGGGCCTGCTGTGCTGTGCTGGCCTCGCCCCTGGGGTGCACTGAGGCGGTGATTGAGACTGGGTGTGGTGGTGCTCGCCTGTAATCCCAGCACTTGGGAGGCTGTAAACAGGAGAATCACTATGAGTCCGATCTAGTAGTAAGACTCCGAACACCCTGTAGATCCTTCTCTAAAAATACAAAAAAGAAAAAAAAAAAGACAAACTGGGCTTGAACTTGTAGTCCTCTGTCTCAGCCTCCCGGAATGTGGGGAGTGTAGGCATGTACCACCTGTGCCTGGATTATGAATTTATTTTCCATTTTATTTCTTTCAAGTCTTATTTATTTATTTATTTATTTATTTCAAGTCTTGATTATTTTCTTCCTTATACTTTCTTTGGGCGTCTATGAAATTCACTGAGTCTTGATACGTTTCCTAGATTATGACCAATTTCTGTAAATATTCTACAAGAGATTGAAAAGATTAATTTTTCAATTTATGGTTATGCTAACTTATTAATTCTACTATCCAAATAAAAATGATTTATAAGCTATAACTCAGATACTGTTACTATTTCTTTATCAGATTGACCTGATGATTACCCCTGAGGGAGCAATTTGTTTAAAACTTTGCCCATCTTGATAGTTGATTTTTCAACTGCTCTCTATTGTTCTGTCAATATACATACAGGTTTTGAAGACCCAGTCAGGTGTTTTTTTTTTTTTTTTTTTTTTAATTTTATTTTATTTGTGTGTGTGTGTGTGTGTGTGTGTGTGTGTGGCCAGCTCAGCCCACCAGGGGGCAGGGCTGGCTGGCATGTGGTGTTGGGGGATTGAACCACAGTCCCCGTGCTTTGCTAAGCTTGTTCTAAGTAGGTTCTTTAGACCACTGAGCCATCTCACCAGCCCGCCAGTCAGGTTTTAAAGCTGTCTTTTTCTGGGGAATTGAACTTTTTGTCATGATTCAGGGGCTTCTTTACTTCTAACAATGTGTGTTGCCTTAGCCTCTAGTTTTTCAGATTTGACTGCTGTTGTGCTGGGCATCTTTAGGTTGTATCTGTGGTGTCTGAATTACCTGGGCTTCCCTCTCTCCTGCGAGGGTCTGCTTGGGCTTCTGTAGGTTATCTTGAGGGCCTGTGATGTGGGGCCTCTTTAACTTACACTTGACCTCTGACATTTTCTGACTAAACAGGTAGCAAGGGTATAGGACAGAACACGTGTGGGGCTGGCTGGGGGCGGGGGGTGCCGCCAGTGCTAACTGCCATGTGTGGTATAACATGACTGAGAATGTACCTCAGTGTATCTTGTTCTTCTCTCTCCATCATCAGGATGAAAACAAGCAGGTTTCTTTGCTGTGCTTTTTTCTGTGCTGGCTTATTTCTAGCTCATACTCATGGTAAATGTCTAGCCTTTTGTACTCTGACTTAATGGAGAGATGGTCCACTTTGGGTTGTTCCTACCCCATATGTCTTGTCTCCTGTGAGCCATCAGAACCCTTCAGGTTTGGGCTGGGGAGATAGCTCAGGAGTCTAAGCACCTGCCTGGGAAGCACAAGGACCCAGGTTTGATCCCTGGTACTGCATGTCATGCCGGCCCTGACACCCCAGGCGTGCGGTGCTGGCCACTGAAACCAGGCATGGTGGTGCACCCCTGTTCCCAGTGCTGGGGAAGCTGAGACGGGGATCACTACAAGGCAAGGTTGCTTAGTGAGACCCTGTACCAAATACATAAATAAATTAAAAAAAATTTTTTTAAAAGCCTTCAGGTTCTCAGGAAGTGGGTGTCATCAGGGGAAGGTAAAATTCCCCTGTGCTCTCAAACTTTCCAGTTCCTATTTTTTTTTTTTAAGTCTTTGGAAATGTTTCACTTTCTTGTTAGCTTAGTGATTCATTAAAACAAATATTTCTTGTTATTTATCTCTAGCCTTTTAAACTACTTTCATTAGGAAAAGCCATCCCAGTGTTCTTATAAAGTACAAAATGGACTTGCCAGACCTTCCTCTTTTGTAAATATAGGTGAATCAGATGTTATTGGTTCTGATTTTTGTCCTGTTGGTTTTAAGATTTTGAAATTAAGATAAAAGATGATTCAGTACAAATCAAAATTCAAAATATATGGCTCTTCTTCCAGCTAAGATAACTAATATGTATGAGCCAAAATCTGGATATAGAATTCCTCTCACTGCTTTACCTCGTATTCTCTGAAACTAGCATGTCAGGGTGAGGAGCCATATTTGGTGTTTTAAAACTAATGATTCTTGAGAATAGTTCTGTTCAGAAGGGTAAAGACACCTTGATATTTTTCTCGAACTCTAAATTAATAAAATTAAGCACTTATTTTATATTTCATAGTTTCTAATCTTTGAATATACCTTCCTAACTACTACAGTCACCCATTGTTTGCTTTGTATCACTGAGCCAATTATTTAACTTTTCTGTGCCCCAGTTTTCCCCTTCTGTAAAAGGGAGTATAACAGGGGCACCAGTAATATTACGGTAATGATATCTAATATCTAATGATTATTATATAATACTGGCAACTGCTGTTATTTCTGTTGCTGTTATCTTCAACTTCAGAATCAAAAGATTTTATTTCGATGCATTTCTCAGGTATGTGCCTGTCAAAGATCTACTGGGAATCTATGAGAAACTCTACGGTCGAAAAGTCATCAGTGCAGATGTCATTGTGGACTGCTCATACCTTCAGTTCTGGGAAATGTGAGTGTGACCCAGAGGAAACGTTCCGACTGACCCTATTGTGACTTTCTTACGATGCTTTCTTTTTTCTTTTTGGCGGAACCGGGGATTGAACTCAGGCCCTTGTGCTTGCCAGGGAAGCGCTTATTCCACTGAGCCATCTCCCCGGCCCCCTTATGATGCTTTCTATGCCTTAGTTCCTGGGAATGGAGTTTAGATGTACAGATTACAGTTATTTGAAGGCAAATGCATGACAGCTGGATACATGTGGGTGTCACTTTTCCTTCAGATTCACTTCATTTCTCTATAGAAACTGCAATTCTCAAAATGATCATTCTGTTGCAGGTATGGAGAGATGTTAGCTGCTTCCAAGGTAAAGATTTTACTCCTTGAAATCTTAGTTTAAAGGAGTCTGCAAGTGGCAGGAATGGCACCTTACTTATTTTTCTTTTCTCTGTGCTGTAGCTATATTCTACCTACTCCCTGAAGTCCCCGTTTTTGGTGGAGCATTTCCAAGAGTATTTCCTGGGAGGACTGGACGATATGGCGTTCTGGTCCACAAGCATCTACCGACTGACAAGCTTTATGCTAGAGAATGGTACCAGGTGAATATCTCTCTATGTCTCACACCAGTCCTCTTTGTCTTTCTACTCTGTTCCCCAGAATGATTCTGAGGCTTTCCAACAAATCAAACAAAAACAAGACCAAACAGTCTCATGAACTGCTTGAGGGGGTCCTACCCGGCTGGCTTGGCTGAGGAGAAGCAAGTTTTGGGGTTAGAGAGGCACATGCTGTGTGGTCTGTGAGAATTCAGACCGCAATCACATAGGACTCAGCCCCTGCTTTGTGCCCCTGAAATTTCTCTCCAGGAACTCTTGGTGCACAGGAGTGGCCACTCCCAGGGCTCTACAGTGGTGGCACCACGGTGCTAGGGCTGAGCAGGTGCCCTCCCCCTCTCTAGGCACTCTTGGTGGGACAGGAAGGCCTGCTCCCACGGCTGAACAGGCCCCCCTCCTCTCCACCCAGACCCAGGATTGGGCCCAGGATTGTAAGGATTGCCTCATCTTCTAGTCAGAGGCCGGAAGCCACCGGGACCCCACCATACCTCTGCCTTCTAGAAGCAGAGTGTTTGTGAAGTGCAGTCTTCCCTGGAAATCCAATAAGTACCCCGGATGAGACAGCTGCTGAACCCCAGGCCCTTTTCTCCTGGGCATGCTCAGGACAAGAGTTAGCCAGGGACTCGGCCAAATACAGATGGGGTCGCAGGGTCATCCAACAGCACCAGGGTTACTCAGAGAAGCCCACAGCAGTGGTAGTACAAGTCCTCCAAATGCGGAGCTGGGTGGCCAGGCAGGCCTGGGGCAGCAAGTGTCATAGAGGACACCTACTTTAGGGAAAGGAAGGGCATGGGTCAGGTGGTGTAGGGTGGGAAAGCCATGCTGCAGGCCGGAGCAGAGCCCGGGGGGATGGCTCAGGGCAGGAGGACTCTAGCAGGTGTGTGCCTTTATAGTTGGAGTAGCTGATAGGAGCAGGGCCCTAGGATGTTCTTGGGCCCTTAAGTCATTTCCTACTATCACATAATGTTGACTATAATTACATGTTGTGTTGATTTGAAACAAAAGGCCCTTTGATGTGTTTGACTTTAGTTTAGGAATCTTGTTTTGGAACCTCAGTAAGTAACAATTTGGCAGGGCTATGGAATCTAATGAAATGATATTTTTAATAGCACAGAAGCCTTGAGTCTGGTTGCCAAGCCCTGCCTCTGTGGCTGGGAATTTTCCGCGCAGGCTATAGTAAGGACAGGCTTGAAGGACCTACCACACCCTTGGAGCTACCTGGAACAGACTGCTGACCCTCCCTGAACCTTAGGATCCTCATCTGCAGAGTGGGCCCAGTAATCCTTCTGTCATCAGAGGGGGTGAGGAGTACGTAAACGTGCTCACGCCAAGGGCTTAACGTGTAGTCAGCACTTGAAATGCTGGCTCCTGCTATTATAATTCCTTTTAGGAGCAAGCCAAGTCTGTGTGGGAAGGGTTGTAATGCTTGGTTGTGTTGAGGCGCATGACCTCAGTTCTTTGTTTTATGTCATCCGCGTGTAGTGAGCCTGAAGTGGAAAAGCACGCTTTTGCATTTGTTTTGTTTTGGTTCCATACAGAGCTAAGGAAAGATGAACTGCTGGGCCGCACCCTTTACTTTGGAAGAAATAATGGAAAGAAATACGTCTTGTCCCTTGATCTGTGTTGTAGTTTACCAAGACACAAAATTCTACAAATCCATTGCTTCTTTACACACATTTGCAAGGAAGATCTGTCCAAATTCATAGAAATGTATGAGAAATTTTGAGAAGGCTCCAAAGAGAGACAACACAAATAAATTTATGCTAGGAAGAAATATACACATATTTTCATATTAGCAAGCATTTTCCAGCTGACTGATAATGGGTTATCTTCCAAAGTTCATTTGTTACTTCAAAAATTTACTTTTCTGAAATGAATTATGGGTGGTTACAACCTCAGTCAGAACTGTGTGTACATCAAAATGTGTTTATAGCCTCAGTACAATGTCATCAGCTGCCTTCTTCCCTGCCCTCCCTTCCCCTCCTCTTCCCTCTCCTTCCCTTCTTTTGTATTGAGGATTGAACCCAGGGCTTTTGCAGTGAGCTACACCCCCAGCCCGCCTGCCTGGTCCTTTCCTCCCTCCCTCCCTCCCTCCCTCCCTCCCTCCCTC